CTTGTTACAGCTTACAGACCGACGATCCATCTTTCTTCCATTTTGTGAAAATAAAAGAAGACAGACACAAATGATGCGATGATGAGAAAATTATACGCCACAGCAGATGCACCTTCAAACCACTTTGGTCGCTGTGGCTGTTTTTGGGTGCCACCAACAAATGGCGTGACAGAAGTTTATGAGCAAACACCTTGAGGAGTGGGCCAGTGACAGTCTCAATCAAGGGCCTCGCAACAACACCTCACATTGCGCAGGCGCAGACCAGCAGACGTGGGCAAGCGGATGAGATCAAAGCAGAAGTGAAAGGCACCAAATTGCACGGCCCTCGACAAACCGGAAGCAGACAAGTTTAATATCCGGCCCCTGAAGTTCTGCGCCAGTGGGTCATGGGGTTTTGCTGAACGAGCGGTCGGAGGTTACCTTCTTGTTTCTCGTCTGCTATGTGAGCACGTTGACAGGTTCGTGGATTCCGTCCAGAATCAGCGGCTTTGGCTCTCACGTTTGCCTACATGTAGGTCTTTTGCTGTTCGTTTACCTCAGAGATAGTGAGAGAGATATCTTGAGTTTGACACTTGACGCCAAAACTGACTCATTTTGATTAAAGGAGAAAGATAAACGACTGAGTATATTTCTACAACCAAACGGGAGAAAGATTTGATAAACAAATTACTACTAGTTGTGGGGGAAAAAAGAAAAACTTTTTAAAAAAGTAGGCTTACCAAAGGAAAACAAAAACTTAAAACTAATGCCATTCAACAGTACCATGAATGAGTGGATACCAGCTCACACTTTGAAAGGGAAATTAAAGCTAAACAGAAGGCTGTCTCTGTGATAAAGTGTGACTCGTATGATCTTCTGTCCATTTTTTCCTTTAAAAAACAAGAGAAGAAAGATTGTCCTGAGTTCCATTCCCGAAAGGGACAAAATTGTTTTGGGAGATCCCCGGAGGAGATATCGCGATGCTGCCTTGCCGATATCCTGGGGTCAGTAAGCATGCAAAAAATTAAATGTATTAATACAAACATTTTCAACTTGATTAACTTTAGCCTATACAACAGGTGTCTGACAGACAACACAAGTGCTTTAATTTTTGGTTGAATAATCGTTTGAGAACGTTAATGTGTGTACATATGAATTTATGCTGCAGATGATACATTAGAATAAAAAAGGGAGAAACCGAGACATATATTAGAACCTGTTTTATGATCACTGGTTCAAAACGTACATAGTTCAAGAAGCAGCCGTCTCAAGTTTTCTTGTCAGGTCTGACCCTGGCCTTGTGGGGCACAGCTTAGTTCAAACAGGAGGATACTCGATATACTATCGTCCCCTAAATGCGCCACGAAATCATGTCTTTTTTTTCTTTTTCTGGTTACAGTTTACTTCACCCCCCTCTCTCTCTCTTTTCAAACATTCCCACCCCCAAAAAGGGACAAAAAACCTCAGAGATTCCTTTACATAATACGCCAATCCGGGGCCCCGCTATCTATGATACCACATGCGGTTTGTCGTGACGTTATGTCAAAAGACGCTGTTACTTATTACAAGTACAAGAAAATGTCAGGCTCGAGTAAAACGTTCTTATTCTTTCTGTAAAAACAGAACCCTTATGTACATTGCTTACCAACCTGGACGATGTCGCCTACTAGTCGAAGATTTTGTTTTAGTTTAGTTTTTTAAGAGGTTTATTGCACTTGCATTACAATAAGGTTACCTAAGGACCAAATATTAGAGGTGATACAAGAGAGTAACAAAATTAAGCAGGTGAAATAAAGTCGATAGATGTTTGATAGGAAAGAAGGAGCTTATCACACCAGACCACCCGCCAACCCGCCGCGTGGAAAATGCGATCATTTTGGTTGACTTTGGACATTACCTGTGTAGTGACAGGTATTTTCTAATGCCCAGCAAAAGTACATGTAGGCCGGAGGTAAGATTATTCCAGCCTCTTAAAATAGGTGGCAAAAGTGGGCGCTGTCTATAAACAGGTTAACAAGCAATGCGTTACAGTTTTAGTTTTGACAGAATCCGAACCTTGACAGCTCACACCGACGTAATACAGCTGTCGCCTTATCAGAAAGAAAGATCTGTAAAAAGTATTAGTGCTTTTGAAACGAAGAGCTCCGTACAAGAGGAGAAATATTTGCCTCGTGATGACGTGTAACTACTTTTGTGCTCAACTAAAATAACTAACGGTGGCAGCTGCGACAACAGCCACCAGACACTTAAGGCTCTTGTCGCCGAAGGTAATTTCAGTCGCGCCTCGACCACCCGTGGCTTTCCCCTAGTCACAATTGATCCCCCTTTACCATTACCCTTCTCAAAGCCGGCGAGTAAATCGAGGTCAAACAACAGTTTTTCAAAAATGAAACGGTAGGCCTTTGGGTTTTTTTTAATTTTTTTTTTTTTTTTTGGGGGGGGGGGTTCGGGGTTTGGGGGGGGAGGGAATTGTTGCTGTTTTATTTTATTTTCTTCAGCTTCAACAAATTGGTGAACCGTCATTCTTGGGTCGCATCTTTGGCGAGGGGAAGAGAGATCACATTGAGTTCTCACTTACCGCACGACGACACGGGAACTGGCATACTTATTTATTATGATTCCAAGGAAGTAAGGATTGTTTCAGAATGCCATAAAGTCTGCTGAGATAATAATGCAAATTGTAAATGACAGATCTCACTACTGAGCGGGAATTTGCACTGCGTATATTATTTAATATTGCTATTATTGTTATTATTATTATTGTTATTATTAATATTATTATTATTATTATTATTATTATTATTATTATTATTATTATTATTATTATTATTATTGTTATTATTATTATTTTTATATTGTTGCTGTTATTGTAATGATGATGATGGTTATTATTATTGTTATTATCATTATTATTTGGGACAGAGAAAACAGAGGTATATTTTTGTTTACCCACACAGACTCGTTTCTTTAATTAAAGAGAAGCACATCGACCGAAAATGGCCATTATTCATTGGTGAGAAAAAGAGACTAGACAGACAGACAGGAAGAAAGACAGACAGACAGACGTACATACAAACAGACAAAAGAGAGAAAGACAGAGTCTGGACATCAGACAAATATATAACGAAAGATATTATAAAGACTGGCCAGGAGATAGAGTCATGAGGATTTCCAACTTGTAAATTGGCATCGGTACAGAATTATATTATATTTTATAACATAAGAAAAACAAGTCGAAAAACAGATCGAGCAGAAGTATAAAAATCCCCTCCCCCTCCCCAAATGCCAAGTCCACCCACTCCCTCTCCACCAATAGTTGAACTTGCTCTGCTCTTACGACCATTTCCCACTTTCCCCTTACGTTTATTCTATAATATCATAATGACACTGTCGAAGATGATCCCCTGTCAAAGATGACCACTTTCTGCTTGACAATGGATGGACCACTTGGACAAGTTCGATTGTGACATAGTCTTCCTGTCCAAAACCAAATTCCCCCCACCTTAGCCCTCTTCCTCACGCCATTAATTGTTTCCACTCGAGTCCTACCCTGATCTTTTCTTTTTAGTACAGGCGATTTTACGCTCCATCGACAAAATTTTATCATTTTATTTTGGTTTTAATTGGAGTTTTACTGCACTTTCAACACAATAAGGTCTTATAAGTGTCGAAGATTAGAGGGGTTTAAACAAGAGAGTAACAAGCACAAAAAGAGGGAGATAGATATTTGATAGGAAAGAAGGAGAAAACCACACCAGAGCACCCGCCAACCACCCACTTTACATGATTTAGAAGGAGGACTTCCTGCCGTCCTGTCAGGGCCAACTTAGGCTGAGAAGGATACAACATCCCACCAAAAAGAGAGAGATACTAAATAAAATTCCCCCCGATCGGAAATCGAACTCGGGCCAACCGCTACACCACAGATGTCGGTCCAGACCCTCCCTAAGTGGTTCCAGAACAAGGCGTAATACAAGACAGTGCTTCTGGGCATGAACAGCCCCTCGGCTGCCCGACGCTTGTTTTGTAGTAATTATCGATGAGTCACATGACACAACGATTTAGTCACTCCTCCCCTTGACTTTTTCGCCGCGTTGTAAATAAATGGAAAGACGGTGGTGTAATTGCGTGGTCTGTATCCAAGGGGAGGGAACTCTGCAGACACCAGTTGCATGGCTGGACTCTGGTTTCTGATTTATGAACCAAGTGGCTGGTAAATGTAACGTTCCTAAAAAGTGCTTTCTACATTGACGTGAAAATATATTTCATTCCGTTTGCTTTTAGTTTGTTTTTGGTTGGTTGGTTGGTTGGTTGGTTGGTTGGTTGGTTGGTTGGTTAGTTGGTTAGTTGTCGCCTCCTTCCCCCCTTCCCCTCCCCTTTTCTTCCCCACATCCTTCAGTGGTCATAATGCATGTAGGTTGTTTGGGTTTTTTTTAACGCACATCTACTCAGCTTTAAGGAAGTGGTCTTCGATAGAGATATTCGATAAAAATTGCCCCCACATGAGAATCGAGCTCAGGTTTTCTGTCAACGATGGCAAAATGGGTAACCACTACGCCAAAGACTCAGGTCTTCAGTGAACTGTTGTCATAAATATACAACAGTATTCATATATTAGCAAAATATCAAGTGCAGCTCATTTAATTAAGAAATAATATTGTTATGACTTACCTTACTCTATCACTTTTCTTTATAATATCATTTTTATTTTTTCTATCTGGCTTTTCTTTCTCTTCTTCTTCCTCTCTATCCTCTTCCTGGCTTTTAAAAACATTTCTGAATTACTAGGCCTAGATCTATACCCCACCCCACTAGACTACTTTACCTTTCTGATGTAGTTGTCGAAGCGAACTCCTTGCATACACCTGGGCACAGTGTTCTCCTTGAGGCACGTGATAGTGCCACTCTTGCTGGTGTTGAGGAGGTCCCTCCTTCTCCTCCTCCGGAGTCGTCTGCGGGTGGTGAGGCCAGCTGCTGCCCAGCGTCTGCTCGAGACTTTGGTCGAAGTCTGTCTGGGGGCCATGGCGTCAGTGGGACTTGTTGGGCTATTTGAGCTGGTAACCAGAGTTTTAGTTTTAGTAAGAGTTTTGGGGCACTTGCAAAACGATAAAACCATAATGGTATGTATCAAGACACGGTGGAATTTGGCGCACGTCAATTTTGTAAAAATTATTTTTGGCGTTTGGCCAGTCGATGTATATGGGATTGGAGGAGGTAGGGGTTGTCTTGTATCAGAGGTAAAATTAACGAGAAAATGCCTGCCACAGTTTTGAGAATTCCAAAGATTGAGAGTCTTTGGAACTGTAAATTTACATTTCGTGTACCTTTGATCCACGTTTTTCAGTGAAAGCCATTCAGAATGTGGAATCCCCAGAATGTATTTTTCAATGGAAATAAAATGTGTTGAGCCCCAAAAAATAAAATTCGAAAAAATAAAAATGAAATGCCAGTTTCTTTGATTTCATTATTTCGAGTCTACATGTTCGTTTAAGCTCACGTCGATTCTCTAGATCTAGACACGCGTGTCCTTCTACTCCAGCATGAATGCGAGTACCGTACATTATGGTTCTTTTTTCTTTATGAGAATGGCGTGCTTCTCTTTCTTTTTGGATCAATGCAGTTTTGCAGTTTGCATAAAATTGCTGTGACCGGTAAGTGCGCGATCGGTGTTGGCGGGTGCTGAAAACTAATCTGTACCGGAAATGACCCTAGGGGGAACTAGGGCTGAGGTTCCAAAGGATCGTGTCCGTGTCCAAATAGTCATACCGGTATTTCGAAAAGCGCCAAATCTCACACCTTTGCCTATAAGTGTCGAAGACTTCCGTCGAAGATTAGAGGTGATACTAAATAGATCTAGATCTAGATCTAGACATCTAGTCTAGGAATCATTAGCACACAACGGAAATATATAGAATAGATAGTTTCAGTATAAGTAGGGTTTTACGGTTCTTGTAACACAGGGAAAATAAGTGCTTAAGATTAGGCTCAGGTAACACAGAGAGTGAAATAGGGCCTACAAAGAAAAGAAAGAGGCTAGATCTAGATCTAGATCTAAATAACGACGATAGATGTTTGATAGGAATGAAGGAGCAAATCACACCAACGTGCCCGCCAAACACCCACACAGTTGAGAGTTTCCGTAGTAAAGGGGAGGAATTCCGTAACATGACTATAAAATATAAAATCTCGATTAGACATCTAATCTATTCTAGATCTAGAGAGATCTAGATATCTAGATCTAGAGAATCCAATTGATGACATAGGCCTAGATCTAGATCTACATTGACATTGACATTGGATTTAGTTGTCCGAGGCTCTAAGTAGAGCCTGTTCATCTAGATCTATCTGGTAATGAACGACAATAATGCATTGCGTGCAGGCTAGACAAATCAGTTTTGGCTGGTGGGGTTGTAAATAGTTGGGAGATCTTTCCAGTATTCATCCAGACGTCTCTTAAATGTGTCCACGTTTGGAGCTGACACCACTGATTCGGGAAGATTGTTCCAAAATAGTATTAACCCTATTCTCAAGAAAGTTTGCCCTCACACACAATCTGCTTCTTTGCTTCTGGAGCTTCTCTGAGTTGCCACGGAGTTGTGTGGCTGTTGCCTTTGTAAACGCTGGTCTTTCAGTAATGTAGTAGATCTAATCTAGAATCTAGCCTTTGATATACTTGTACGTTTCTATCATATCACCACGTAACCTACGATGTTCCAATTACCATTTTTGGTAAATTTGACGACCAACATAGGAAACCCAAGTTCCCTCCCCAAGTGGGGAGATTTTTTAATACAGTGGTTTTAGGTCTTCCATTATATCATGATTACATGATTATGACTTATTGACTTTGAAGGCCATTGAGTAAAGTAAAGATCTTGTATAGAGTCTAGAGTCTAGTTTGCTCAGTTGACCTTGTCACGGTAAGTGCCGGCCCTCTGCTATTTCAGAATTTAAAAGTATGTTAATTGTAGATCTATGTCATTTTATATTTTATCTTTTAAAATAGCAAAGAAAGAAATTCTTAGTAAATCTAATCTAGATTTCTAGATCTGGTGCTTTACCAACCTGTTTACCGCTTGAGCGAAAGGAGAATGATTGACGTCACGTATATATTTCATGATGTCATTTCCGGAACAACCAAAAATACGCAAAATACCATGACATCATTGTGCTTTCTATGGAGAGATATAAGACGTGTTCTTCTAATATTCTAGATCACGCTCTGTCATGGCCACCACTCAAAAAGGTTACAATTAATAGCTTTATTTATAACTTTTTTGGTTGTATATTTTTAAAAACTTTGGTGCGAATTGTGTACTATCTCTTGACTAAAAGCAAAGGGAATATTTGCACATGGGTTTGAAATGCTGTTGACTATGATTTCATGATTTAATACTAAGTACATGACATTGAAGCCATTACTGGTTTGTAATCTTTGTTCATTGTTTGAAACACAATGATCCTTGAAAGCACACTGTTTAGACTGGTTTACACGACAAAGGTCACTGCGTTCAATATCAATGATGATAATACGATTACACATTATAGCGCTCAAAGTTTTCTCCGAACATAGCGCTCTTTTTTTCGTACTCTTGAACCAACCCCCCCCCCCCTGTCTATGTGTTTTAAAAATTCAATTGCCAATAAATTGTAATGCCTTTGTTACTGTAAAATTGAATTTTGAAGTCCGGAAACTAGTGGTATTCCAAGAGGCAAAAACAACGGAATTCGACGCTTTGAACAGACCGTTCACCTCGCAGATTAAAAGCCATGAATGTCAGTCAAAGTATGCTACTGTAAACTGGCAAGACAACACAGAGCTAGATTCGGCCAAAGCCACAAACTATTGTCTTCCAGGCATTTATCTCTACCTTGAAGAAAGAAAATGTTGAAATGATACACCTTCACCATATTCCTATTTGGCGCTGAGACCTGGACTTTGGCAAGGAAAGACGAATGCAAAATAACTGGGTTTGAGATGTGGTGCTACCGCAAAATGGTCAGAAATAGCTGGAAAACAAAAAGAGACGAACAATGAGGTGTCAGATTCTCGACACAAGATAAACCCTACTGAATGAAATAAAAAGTACAAAAACACCATACTTTGGTCACTTAAAACGACACGATCCTGTAGTGAAATAGATGTTTGAAGGAAGGATGTGGGGAACGAGAGCAAGGGGAAGACAAAGAGTAACATGGATGGACAACATAAAAACGTGGACTGGCCTCAATGTAGCAGAATGTGCAACGGCAGCTCGCGGCGGTGAAGGATGGAGGGTCATTAAACGTCAAGCTCTGAGTCGGGGAGGACACCTCCAGGTTCAGACCAATACAACACACAGTATTTGAGAAAACCTTGGGAAATTGTATGGCTCAAAATGGCACCCTCCATCGGTGATGAATCAGTAGGGTATACAGCCCAGGGTATTAGAGTACAAGGCCGTGGATTTATCTCACTGATTTTCATTGAACAAGTTTCAGTTTACTGTAACCTGCCCTTTTTTAACTATGTCCACAAGCTGCTGAACACGAATACGATACTAATAGGGATGGAGAGGGGGTGAATGACCCTCGACTTCTACAATTACATCCTTACACCGAGAATGAACTATTGATAGTCGTGTATTGTACATCATGTCCACTTCTTTCTATGATGGGAAGCAGCGTGGGGAAAACAGGCGCTCGTCAAAATAATAAAATTGAAGAAACTAGCATTTTCCCGCCGGTTTGGTAAATTTTTTCGAAATGTTGTTTTTGGCCCAACACCTTTAATGTACATATTAAAAAACCACTTCTGTGTAGATTTTACAGAAAACCCTTGATTAAATACAAAAAGTCAATTTCCATGGACTCTCAGACTTTGTAAATGACCAAACTTAGCCTGCAATTTTCTCACTAATTTTACCTCTGAGACCAAACGACCTCTGTCTCCTTCAATCGCAAGCATCTCGATTTGTATTCAAGATATGGGTAATTTCTTTCACCGAAACCAAGATAAATCAATGAACAAGCTTTGAGACGATACCAACAACTCAGCACGCCCAAAAATTGACGAACGCCTGATTCCATCTCGCCCTGACAAAAATGTATATTACAAAACTCCCTCTCATCATATTATTATAATTATGTCGGTAGTGACCTATGTTTCATTATATTTGTGATACTATGTATGTGTTATAAGCATTTGTGTGTCTTGAACACGAACGGTAGAGGCACAGATTGTTCTGAAAGAACATTCATTTGTGAAACTGAACTAAATTTTGTCAAACTAGCTGGGCCCCTTTCGATGAAAGGAAAGATCGGTGCATTAACATCAGCCGAAAGTCATTGGCCTACAATATTTACACTCTACTGGAATGGAGCAATAAATCTTGAGAGATGCAAAGAATTAGAAGATTTAGATCTATACTCTAAAAAACAGTGCGCACTGTTAGTGAACGGAAAGCTGTTTAAAATGGCGTCTTAGAAGACGGACTTTCCCAAGATTATATGTGAACGAATCTAATGAAGAACTGAAAAAAACTGCAAGGACTTCAGGCTCCTCAATAAAACTGTGCCCTCTTCAAATGATTCTGGACCACCATTAATTTTGTCAAATTCGAAAGTTAAGTGGTTCGGAAGTTTTAGGCTGCGAAACTGACGAACTTTCAAAAATATTATACGTTTGGATTCTCCCTTCCAAATGCGTCGTAGCTCTAACAAGGTTTTACGATATGAGCATTAGTCTGGCAGATTTGAGAAATCGCAAGGAAATAAAAGCAAAAGAAACACAATGAAATGCAGTTGATAGAGAAAATCATCGTATCTAAAATACTCAAAATGTACATTAATGTACGAATGGGAAAGTTTTTTAATTTTCATTGAAAACGCGAACTCCGTTTCCTCTAGCGGAGGCTCGATTTGCAGTGTGCACACATCGTCCGCGGAAGGATCGCGATGGCCGCACCATTTGAAAACAACTCTATTTTGGAAGAAATGTAAAAGGAAACTGATGCAATTAAGTAAATTACTTTATCTATGGTCTATAATTGTTGCATTAGAGCTCTTCTACTTAGTAGACT